TACAGTACATGTGCGTGTTCATGACCAAACTTGAATTCCACATCGTTTTGTCAAGGTCTCATGAGCCATAATTCCATACATTCCATGATGACAGCAAAGTGAGCAAACAATTCCAAGTACACGTACTACCGGTAGTGACTGCACTTGAGCTACATGTATGGCATTGATCAATTTCACAGAGCTCAGAAGAAATGTATTATAGAAAGTAAGTGACAAAGATTCAGTCAGACATTCAGTGGCATGAGTGAGATACTGTACAGGTCTACACTGTCGGCTGGCTCTCTTGAAACAGCAAAATTGGGTACACAATAGGCTGGACTTGCACATGGGAAATTACATACAACACAGACTTCAGAGTTTTCATAGCAACTGTGTAGGGCCTACTTACACGACTGGTGGTTCATGTCCAACCTTAACATGTATGGCACGCACACATCATCTGATTCATCTTTCAATAGAAAAACCTGAAGACCAATTTATAAAAACAAGCAAGAACATTCCTCCCGACGCATGCAGCGATCGCACTTAATCAATATTTACACGGTCCAGATGCATCATAGGGATGCCAACCGCAGTCTCCTCTAGCCTCCAGCCCGTGATTAATGGAATTAAATCCGCCATCCCGCCTAAATCCTCTTAAGAATTTATTAATTTACTTTCCCCTTGAAACTTGTTAACTCATGCATAATTCATTAGCGCTCGGCTGCGGCAATGACGAATGGGATAGAGTGAGCACAGAAAAAAGTGTTGCAGCGATAATATTTGATCAATTTGGCCATTCCATGCACTGAACGTTCATATTGTACGTTAAATCTTTAACAAAGAGGTCATATTTTTGTCATATTTTTTCAATTTTACTGGAAATATGATTCTCCTAATTCATCAATTAGGCCTATGTCAAAATTAAGATTAGAAACTTAAATGTCGGGCCGGGTTGCTCTGCTGGTAGAATGTCGTAGATTTTTTTTGTGGGGGGGGGGGTCGAATTCCTGCTGCATTCCATTTTCTTTGTTCAACCAAAAAATCAATAAAACATTTCCAACAGTTTCTTTCAATGTGGATTTCATAACTGATGACAAAAAAAATATGTTTGGATTAATTTCACAACTGGGTGTTAAAGTGTCCCTGGAAGACTTCCTTATCAATTATTTGTTTTTATTTTATCCTTTAAATGTGAGAATTAATCATATGTAATAAATCTATACTTGTATCGGTACGAGTTTGTGTATTACAATGTGACATAGGCTACATGTACGTCCTCTGCCGTGCACAGTATCATCACAGTGGCATAATTATGTCAAGTTTTTCGAGTCCAATTCGCGCTGATTTCGCATTGCTTTGCACCAATTTTGCATAGATTTGCCACTGATTTCGAATCACTTTCACAAAATGTTCGTACAATTTTTCACACTTTATTGCATCCAATTCGCTGCGAATGCGCGGGGGGGGGGGGAGGAAATAGTTGCATGCGAAATGCAAATGTGAATACAAATTTTGGGAAGTCTTTTCACAAAAATTCTGATTCGCATTCTCACGTACATCCCGAGGACAGCAAGACAAAGAAAGAGCAACAGATTCGTTGTCCTGTCCATGAATGTAAATATAAGTCTGTGTTTAGTCTATGGGAGATAACCCGTATACCAGTAGGAACGGAGGGAATGTCTTGTCCTTAGACGTAAGTAGGACTCTGTGTATGTTAAATTAGAGTGAATGAGATTCTGGGAGATTTTTTTTTCTAACTGGTTAAATCTTACGTACCGGTATACACCCAATTCAAGCATGAAATTATAATATTCCACTTTTAAATCGATGATTTTAATACTTTCAAAACCCTCAATCCCCCCACTTCTCAATCCATCCCCATCCCAAAAATAGCCAGTTTTTTTTCCCAAAAAAAGGCTTCCATTTTACATTCAATAACACAGCAATCTGTCTGCGTTAGAAAACCAAGCCAAGAGATTGATCATCCAACGACACCACATCAGTCATGCGAAAACTCCATCAGGGGGACTCAGTGGACTGGATTAAGGGTTTTACTGGGGCGAGGGAGGTGTTTTCTCTATCGCAATCTATGGACTCAAACCATGAGGGGGTGGGAATGTGAATTCTCCACGGGTTTGGTTAATGTAATTTGACTAGGCGGGCGCTGACGCAACGAATCATGAGAACGGTCCAGGAAGGAAACTGGATTGAATGATAACGGCAAGTAGAAACAGCAACTATTCAAGATATACCTCGTCAGTTCTAAGGCTATGCGGAATATACCAAATGTCCGATCATCTACTGAGAGTCCAAACAGCTTTTTACCAACAATATTTTAATCAGAGTGATGTTTATTTTAAAGCGTCTAGGTCCGTCGTTTCACTCTGGAAATTAAGAAAGTACGCGATGTTGAACATTCCCCCGCTCCGCCGCGCCGAGGCTAAAACGCGGAATGGATTTTGTGACCATGGGATCACAGAAATAAAACTTGATGTATTCCAAAAGTGTGAGCCATCTCAAGAAGATGGCGGTGATTTACTTTTACTCAAATGCCACATTTTGGCCCTAATGTACATAATGTCATAATGCCGGTACCTCCCTGAAAATGCTACACAAAATAAACGGTAGACAAGGAGACATGTAATTGGCATGCACCAGTTAACTTCTACCGGAACACATGACTGAGCATTCACGGCGCAATCATCACTGTACATTACAGTCCCCAGCTGGCCCCACGAACACAATAACAGTGTGATCTCTCATTCACAAAACAGTCATTCTTATTACCCAAATCCAACTTCATCACCCATCCCATGTTGTACAACAGGAGCAATCAATCCTCAGGAAACTCTCACATCCCACTTCTGCCACCAAATCTGTCCGACAATCAGCTTATCATCTAATGCCCAGCCAGACAGATCAGCCTGTGCCCATGGGGTTTATTGCAGGGCCAATTACACAGTGTTAATCCTAATCTCTGTGCTGATCGGATTATAGGCAGCTGGAAAAACCACAGGGGATCCTGTGATAATGGTATCGGGTTTTGCAGGACTAAAGCTATAGGGATTTTATGAAGACACACTCAGTAGCCAATAATGATTCTAAATCTCTGAAATCAATTTAAATTGTGAGCAGTACATGTGCATACACGTACACTGTACACACACTATTTTAACGGTTTTACAGCATATTTTGGTATATGTGTGTACCGGTAGCTTAGTAAACTTTTGTCCACTTTTCAGAGAATCTCAATTTCACATTTAACCTGACTTTAGAATTTAGGTTAAAAGGATGTAAAACTCATACAGCTGATGCCTTTAATAAGGGAATAAATGTGTGCTCCGGAGGTTTTTATCACTCGTTTAATACCGCTTAGAGTCTGGGTGCTGATAATTACCCTCGCCTACCCTCTAAGCGGTATTAAACAGAGTGATAAATACCGACCGAGCACATATTTATTCCCATTCATAAATACCTTATCCGTAAAAAAATATCAAATAATTCGTTCAAAAAATCCCGATTTTGTTCAACAAGTTCACTTCATGCTTTTTGAAACATCCCTCTAGCAAAATAATGGAGTGTTCAGCTGGCGAGTAAGATGTAAACAACCCTTTTATGGAGATTGACGCGCGCGTAACATGTTCTGCGCGATGTCACGCAGAACGCACCTGGGGCGTTGCGTTTTGAATTTAGAACTATAAAATTCTGACTTGCTTGTAGTGTTGCGCATGCCTACGTGAGGATTGTGAACGTTCAACCAATGAAACGGTAAGAGGCACTGGATTTTTAGGAGTCCACATTTTATTGTGACACTGGAAAAGTGTTTAAGACCAGCTAGCCATGTCTTTATCATCCGTTTAAGACCGGCCACGTGACGGGCTCTCGACCAATAGGAATAGCTAAACTGTCTGAGGTATTTATGAATTTAATTTAAATGAAGAAAATTCAAGTCAGGACTATATAAATTGGGCTCGGACGTACATGTACTCCGTAATTACTCCAATGTTGCTGGAAAATTCCAAAATTATTGAAATCGATCCATCCAGACGTCACCATTACCGGTACGTGCAGATATGTAAAGTGCAAACTTGTGATCTAGCAAATGAAGCCAACAAATGAAATCACTAATTAATTTCAGTAGTTAATAATCTCCAAAGCAAGGCTGTTAAAAGGTGACATCCCCCTTTAAAACAAGCTGGAATTGGAGATAGTCAATTTCTCTTTAAATTGAAGTCATAATTAATTCAAATTCCAAGTTCAGAACTGGTTCTATTCTACCGGTATGTACCGGTACATTGTCCCCCAAGCTAGCCAACGTGACGTGCAACACCTACATGTACACGGGTTCATCACCACTGTCAAACCCCCACAGATCTCCTGGATGTTCACCATTGATTGTCAATCATACAAAGGTCTAATGAACTTTGCTACCAAGAATTTACCCACGACTGCTTTCCAGAAATCACTCAGCAAACTGGGTCAGTAATTCACACAGCTTTCATATTGGGTTGCTCAATGCTCACGATGGCCAATGATACTCATACATGTACAATAAACTGTGCATACATTGTACGTAATGTGTCAAAGTTACTTAAACATGACTTGCATGCTGGCCTTTTACTAAGAACCACACAAGGCTTTGTATAATGTATACATACTGTATACACTGTATTACATTGTATCATGCAATACACACAAGAAGTACATTCACATTGTAAACAGTGCATGCGATACAAATCACAAGTTGATCTTTCCCTATTGTGCACATTGTACATATACAGGGTATGTAAACCATTTGGCATACATTTTATGCATACATGAAGGTGTGGACCATAACTGCATAAAAACGTGCAAATTACAACTGACTTTTTTTTACTAATCATTCGGCTAACCAACACCCACACAACCTCAAAAATGCTATACTTACAAGTATGTCTCCCACGAAACTTTAGATCGTAAATGCAACTTTGAAGCAAGTAAATGGCAGTTTGAAGTTCATATACACTGAATGAACTTACCTTGCAGACAAAGTTTCTAATGCTCAGTTCATTTCAACTCCCACGATCGACTTCACACACCAGCGAATCTCTCCCACCACAGCAGACTCAGTCACTTTCAGTATACAAAATCTAGGTGTTTAGCGCTCCCATTTTCTGTGGTCAATAGAAGAAATATAATCACCAAACCAGATACTGGGGTCAGTCGGTCGTGACAAAGTCAAAGTAAACCACAACAATAGCTGGGTAACCAGAACCAGGCACCCCAGAGATTAGGGACAAAAGGTTTAGAGGATCAACTGGGCGGAACAATACTAAAAACCCTGACCAGAGTTGTAGGCCTATAGCTCAGGATTGTGGGTTACTGGATAGGTTTAACAACTTTCAGTAATTTCAGCTGTGTCTTGCACACATTTTTTTGCCAATTTATAACATACAGATGTACCATGCACTGCCCATAGTGGGCAGATAGGGGAAATATTTGGGGGAATTGTGTCTTTGATGATACAAACATGGCATTTGGCACACAGTCAGAATGAGAAAGATACCGGTAGGCCTATATCTGGCTATAGGGCCATCGCAGATTTGTCATGTGACCAGATGAAGTGAAATCGCAATTTTCTGCCACCGGTACATGCATTTCAAAATTCTGCTAGATTCAATATAAAATCTTCAACACTGCACTGCCGACCACTTTGCACAAAAGAAGTAAAAATTTCAAAAACAAAATGCAGAACTTCTAATGTCCACAAAAACTAGGGTTGGAGTAGCACCATAATTTTTCTTTGTTTTTTTTTTCGAATTTTTTTCTTTTTTTAGGTTTGCATGATTTTCTAGGTTGAGTGCAGTGACCAGAAACACAAGTATTTTTTTTCTTGGCCTTAACCCTACCCCTAATTCCTCTGAATCCAACAGGAAGGCTTGGAGGATTTTCTCTCCCTGAACAAGGTAGAGCGCAGCCATGATTCACCTGGAAAGTTACAGTACATGTGTACAAGTACAACAAAATGTGCCATTGGGCCAAGTAAGAAAAATGAACTAGTTTCTTGGTGTAATCAAGAAACAATGGAGGAATTGCAGGATTGAGGCTGTATGCTATTTTTCCATGAGGCCAATTGGAGGATTTTGCAGGATTGAGGCTACATCCTAGCAAAAAGGCCTAGGGAGTTAGAGAGCAAAGGATTTGTAGGGCTTTAAAGCCGATGGCTCACATCTAAAAAAAAAAAAAAAATCCAAAAACAATAGCATTAATAAAGCCAACAGGATCATGCCTGGCAGCGATCCAATCCAACTTTCATGATTCACACTATGATGATGCACTTTCAACCATTTTTTACCCTCCACTTTGATTTTTTTTCCCCCTTCATTCTTCTTGCCCCAAGGGCTCACAGTCATGACCAGCAGATGGGATGTCTGATTCCGGGGGTTTTGCCGCAGGAATTGGAGCGTAATCACCCAAAGAATGCCAATTTGCGAGTGCTCAGCACTTCAAAATGAGAGGATTTTTTTAGTCCTGAATTACTTCCGGATATTCCTCACGCTCGGGAAAGTTGAACAAGATCCTAAAAGGATTGTTCTGGTTTAGGGCTGTTTTGATTCGATTATCAACCAAAATATAGCATTATTTTTTTTTAATTCAAATATTCAAAAAATTGGGCAAATCTGTGAATGGGTGCAAGCGTTGACCTGGATCAACGATCTAGGTCAAGATCAGGAGTATTGTGTTTTCTCAAAATATGTATATTCACAGAGCTAACAGTTCATCAGGTTTAGTTGTTAAGCACCCGTCTTGAGATTTTGAGCACTTTTGTAGAGCACTTCAAACGAAAAAAAAATGCACAAATGACAAATGATCTACCCTACCCTAAAACTTGCACAAATTGGTTTTGGAGGACCAGAATATTTTCAGAAAGAGTTAATTAATTCGAATGAGGCTTTCATCTACGACAATTTTTCCAACCCTCACATTATGCCAAACGAGTATCCCTTTAAACGAGATTCCAGACGTGATACAGACTGGGGGCAGAAGAAATTCCTGGCCAAAAGTGAAGGCTCACGGCATTACGATTACAAGGTAAAATGTAATCCTTTAAACCTGTGCAGGAACATGTCAGGACTGACGAGAGAGTCTTGTGTACTGACAGCATGTGTGTACATGCACGCACTTCAGACTTCTATGTAGCCCCCCCCCCTCCCCCCCCCCCCCCCCCCGACATTTGGGCACAGAGCGGATAACGTGGTGCTTCAAGGCTTCTTAATAGTTGGGTGTTGCCTTTCCTAAATTGACGCGACTTTTTTAAGTAGTGTTTACTTGGCGCTGTCTGGAAGCTTGTGAATTCAAAGATTCATCAACTTGCTTGGGCGGGACTCGAACACACAACCCCCTTTTTTGCTGCAAGAAACAATGAAGCCAAGCTTGCCTGGGTCAGTTGCACACCAAGGATTTGGCTGGGGGGGCTCATAAAAAAAATCCTATTTTTTTAAGAAGTTTGATTTTTAAAAAAAATGTTGCCCAAAATTTTGGCCGCAGAAAATAAACATTTTGGGGGGGGGGGCTAACCTCCTCCCGACTATAAAAATTTATTTTAAACGCTTACACAAAATAAACAGAAAACACACAAAATACACAGTTATGTTTCATAAACTACCGGTATTATATCTCATCAGTGTGGACAAAACATTTCTATTGCAGCCAGACAGCCACCTTTAAAAAACCATTGCCGAATTATAAAAATGACATCTCAAATCCCTGACGCATCTCCAATGCCCCGAACTCTCTCAGCGAGACATTTAGCGCCGATCATCCGCGGCCGTTCACCGCTCCGCATATTGACATTCCATTTTCGCACTCACCACGGAGGAATATAGACGCACGACAGATGGAACAACAAATCACATGGAACTGAGGACGTTCAAACACCGGCCGCCTCTCACCGACGTCCCCACGGGGCAAATTTCATCAAACTGGCGTGAAGGAAGAATGGGCTGAAAAGTGCAATCTATCTAATTTTACGAGTAGGGAATGCATCCTATGAGTTTAACCCATTTTAAAATAAGTTTCTGTTTATGAGAAAGCTTAGTATAGGCATTCCATGCTATGACTCACACGTTGTGCAAATATCCGTTAAAAAAATCTGTTTGGCAATGGCCAATTTGGCCCCGAGGGTCTACCGTTACCATAAGAATGCTCATCTCAGGCCTGGTTTTTATACTGTTTTTTCCAGTGACTAATCTTGAAGTTTTTAAGCAGTATGTGGGCTACTGTACTACACGTACCGGTACCTTATAAAGCAAATATTATCACACTGTTATTTAACTGTAATTCGCATCTTATAAGAGGCATGGAATGTGATGGAAAGAACTTCTAATTTTACGGTCTATATGACTCTATGTAGGGGATTTTTTTTTTTAAAAGTAAACCTACGTGACAAAATAGGGCCCGCTCTGTTTCAGGCCTGTGCGTGTCCCCCTTCAAAATTTAGGGGAAAAAAGATCTTATGTTTTGCACCCATTTGAATGCCACCTCCAGAGAGCGAGGCCCCCCCCCCCCCCCACCCCTTCAGGCTTAGACCTCTCCCCTGGTATTAGTTACTTTTAAGAACCCTTTCCTGTAAGAGAATGAAAACCCATTCTTATGTTTTGAACACACCTAAACAGAGCTGGGGAAGGACAGATTTAATTTTTCTTTCTCATTCATGGCTCTGAACAATTTTAACGTTAAGTCCGGGAACCATTCGGTTGACAACTGACTTATGCACAACAGTCAACGTCCGTAAAAATAGCGACGGCGAAAAAAATAGAGGGGCCCTGAAAGTAACATATTCCTTTCCACTTTTTAGAATTAAGGAAAGTTAAGAAAGCGTTATTGTATGGAAGTTTACCATTAACTGCCCCCTCAAGAAAAATGAGTTCCCCTCTCCCTAAGAGGCCCCTCCCCCTCCCTTAGAGGCCCCTCCCCCTTCAAGAAATATAGTTCCCCTCTCTCTGAGAGGCCCCTCCCCCTCCCCCAGTGCCTCCCCGAGTGACCCCCCTCCCCGAGGGCCCCCCCCCCCCCAGTGACCCCTCCCCCCCCCCCCATTTGACCCAAGTTACACCACTTCTCTGTTATCACCTAATATTGCTTAAGTACTTCTTGCCGAGGTTTCAGACAAGGCCTTCCCAGCCCAGTCTCAGGTCAGACTGGAAGTTTGTAGCCTCCCAGGGGAGCGGTGTATCAGGGCAGTTGTCATCCTTAGGGTCCCCTGTGACATCACTAGTGACCCTGGAGTTGTCCCAATCAGGGGCAGGCAAAACGAGGGCAGGCTAAACCAGGATTAATCTGGCGTCAGCTGCCTTCCAAGGCCAGGATGGATCAGGCAATCATCATCTTAATATTTGTCATTAATTCTGAGCGTGTTTATTTGTAATTCAATTTCATTATCACGAGATGCACAACTGCGTAGTCATTTGCTCCCGACTATTTTTTTCCTACAACACTTTGTACTGAAAAGTCTGATATTTGATGAATAATTTAACAACACTGATATGAAATACAGTCGAACCCTGATAAGAAGAGCACTGTTAATTCCAACATCCTGCTTACAACAAGGAAAATGTTAGGCCCCAAGTCTTTGTTTGTCTTTGTTTTCCTTTGTTTTCCATTACTGATAATACAAGGTACCGAATATAACAAGGTAATTTGTAAAGTCCAAAGGACCTTGTTATAAAGGTGTTCAACTGTACATACTTTTAATCATCCCCCCCCCCCCCCACAATGAGCCTGGATGCCAAATTTAAACCTGCTTTAATAATTAGGGTCCAATTTAGGGGGGGGGGGGGTAGGGAGGTCCAGGGGGGTACTTAAGTAATAAAAAGGGTGTCGATAAATGCAAACTTTAAACAGCCATAACTTGTCAACGGAATGTCCGATCAAAGTGCAACAAACAGTGTGGCAAGGAGAATTTTATTCTCTTTCCTAATATCTGCAAACCCTCATTTTGACCTCAACCCAGTTCTGTCTAATTTTGCCAGAACACCACACACATGTCGCTCGTTCAAGTCTTAAAATAGCAAATTGGCTTACAAGTTGACAACATGTACAGTTTCGGTACAGTCATGCAATGTAGTACGTGCTGCATGGCCAACGCTTCTGTCAATGAACTCTCACTATTCAGACTTGAATGAGTCTACTCACAAGTCAGTATTTCAAGGCCCTGCACTTGGCCTATTGATGACCAATATAGGGAAACACAGCCTTGTAACCTGGTTAACAGTCTCTCTGGGATTTCGGGCCAAGTCAAAGCTAGTCAGCGTCAAAACTGTGTCATCTTTAGAGCCCTGCCAAAAACCGACTGGCAAATTGGTCATCAACTGGCCAAGACAAGATAATGAGGCCTGACCTTGTCCCTTGCACAAACAAAATCTGAGGTCAAACTAAAGGGGCTGTGTTAATAACTTGGCAAACATATAAATCATGGTATAGCCTTCAGTTACCTTGTTGAAGGGGACTTCAGGATATCGTCACTTTTCTCGAACAAAAACAGCTCAATCGCATTGGAAATCAATTAACAATAACATCCAATGCTACTAATACAAATTCCTTAACTGTACATGAAGGTAGTTAATTATACTTCATAATTTGTGAGAGAAAAAAAGTATGTCGGTGAAGAGAAAAAAAACGCCTAGAAAGATCACACGCCTAGAAAAATCCAAGTGTGCCTTTTTCCACACGTCTGTGATTTTCAAATCAGGACAGACACGCCGCCGGTACAGTGTTGTTCTACAACACTGTACACAGAGTTTGAAAATTTACAAAACAAAAGAAAATTTGAAGTTACAGTATGTGTACCACTACCGGTATGAAAGTCGCCATTCTGAAATTGCTTGCAAGACAGCTTGAGGGGTAGGTAAATGCCTTCTTCTGTGATTTGTTTGTAAGCTGCTGATGGATGAATTTAAGGAAAACATTTTTGACCTGCATTGGTTTACATAATGTTCATACATGTGTACCGGTACATGTACCATACCGGTACGTCTGGTTCATGCACAGCCCACAGAGCAAGAACCCGTAGCCTTGGCCCTTTCTATTCTGCACCACCAACTGTTCAGAGTACACATCCAGACACAAATGAATGCCTTCAATTCAATAAAAAGGGTGGGCAAATGGATACTGCGTACTTTCAATGTATTCACAGTTCTACAGGTTAAATCATGGAGGAAGGAATAGACAGGAGTTGGAACGACCATTAGATCAAAGGTTCTATTCCTTCCTCCATGTTAAATGTACCGGTAGGATGGACCATTTGCAGCTATCTTGGTTTTAAAGATAATAACGGCAGTAAACTCAGTAAACTCCCTGTGAAATTATTCCTTCTGGCATGCTGTCATTTTAAAGAAAACAATAAAAGGAGGTCATTTCCAAAGATGTGTCAAGAGGCACATTTTTGGACATTTCCATTTGTAATTGGTTTGTAATTGGGCGAATCCGTGAACGGGTGCAAACGTTGACACGACATACAACGGTGTGCGGCTGCTATTATTCATTGGTTCACTATGTGACATCACGTAAACAATCGGCTGAATGAGAATCATGTCCCAAATGCTGATTTCGGAATTGTGTCACGAGAGGACGCAATTCAAAATACGACTCAGCAACTTTTGAATCAGACATCCAGATCCAGAATGTTGTGTTTTCTCATAATATACAGCATTCACAGAGCTAAAACTTCATCCGGCTAGTTGTTAAGCACCCATCTTTAGATTCGAGCACTTTTCTTGTTTTAAGCGGGAAAAAATGCAAATTTGTCAAATGGCGCATTCTGTACCTTTAAACTGTGCAAGCCGCTAACGGATGAATTTAAGAAAAATGTTTTTGACCTACATAATATTCATAAGTCTTGTTCATTTATGTTCATGTTCACACCCTGCTTTGTATGCAAAGCCTTGGCCCATTCTACGGTACTCTGTCTACCTGTACAAAGTACATAGACACAGCTGACTGCCCTCCATTCAATACAAAGGGTGGCAAAATGGATACTGTACTCTCAATGTACCGTATTCACAGAACAAGCTCACGTTTCACAGTAATATGAATACAGTACTTGCCCTGAAAAGCAAACGGCCTTGATTTTGATGAAGGGTGTTCGCCAGATGTTTGGTGGGCTATTGTACTACAGCAACACTACACTGCCTACTTACAAATATTTCATCATCCTGGGTTGGACTACAAAGAATATTTCCCTGAAAAGTGTGCAATATGGTAGTCATAAAATACATACAATATGCTGGTGTGGTTTGACTATGTGCGACAAACTTTTCAATTCGGTCCAACTTTATGTTTATTTCTTGGCTTTTGTGTGGAATTTCATGTGATCACCCTGAAATGTATCACATTTCCCAGTGTGTTTTTTTAAAGCAACATAAAACTGATGTACTATTTATTTTTTAATAGCCAATACATTTTTTTAAATGGGGGAAAAAATGAAATTTTGTATACTAACATATGATCAAATTTTCCGAAAACCATTTGCCATATTAATTATTTTATAAGTTTCTATACAAAATTAATTTATTTTTGACGTTATTTTTAATTGAAATGTCAACAAAACTACATTGTATCATCAAGATCTTACGGAGACAAGGTAGATTAGGGAGACATTTACTTAATGTTTCAACTCCTACCGGTGTTTCTAGGCAAAATTGTACAGTCGCAAATAGGCTACCAGGTAAATCGATTCCTTGAGAATTGAGATGCAAAACCCACATTTACAAAGTTTGATGAAGCAAGGACAAGAGTTAGGGTAAGTGGTCATTTTTTTGTGCAACTTAAGTCAGAGGGGAATGTGTCCCCAAGATACTACCTCATTTAAAACTGCTAAATTTATAATACTGTGCAGTAACAAATGCCACAGTGCCTGGGCTCTATGTCCTTACGTTGCAGAGTCCCAAAACTTAAGGTATTGAAAACATGCAACACAAAAAAAAAGAGTGGCACATGAAGCACATGATTGAAACAACTAGTACATTTACATGTAGTTGATGGTGTAAGAATGGGTAGTTTTTACTTGGCATGGGGGGGGGGGACCCAACCACTTGCTTTTAAAGTGTATATTAAGCACAAATGTTAGGGGAAAGAATGTTGCAACCTGACGCAACTTATATCTTCATATATATAGCCTATCACCTCATGAAAGGTCTGTCATGTCTGTCATTGCAAAAATAAATAATAGCCCAGTAGGCCTAATAAAAAAAATTCTTGATTCTAATTATTTTGATCGAAACAAAAGGGGCCCTACACTTAGCTACACGATCGCCATAATTTCTACCGCAAGAAACTGTTCAAATATTGCAGAAAACATGGAAAAGGTGTCATAATATTGAGAGAAGTCTGCTTTAGGTTGAAACAGTCATTTTTGAGTAATAAAAAACACCCTTGACTCTATTTGATCGAAACTAAACAGGAGCCCTACAATACACGATCGCCGCTCATACAACATGTACAACTTTACATTCCTATAAAAATCCAAGCAGTCCAATTTCCAAAAACCAAACTCAAAAAGTTATCAATCAATCAATGACGTTTATGAAACAACTTCAATCCCCTCGCCCCGCAAAAAAATGTGGTTTTCTACACAGCAGGAAGACAGGTAAGGAGCCACGTTATTCAAATGTTTTCTACTTACCATTTACTACGGGAAAATACCAAAATCTTCACGCCATTCGAACCGAATTCTGTCAGCTTGTGTAGTTGTGAGGAGCTCCTGCTTGATTTGATTTTTGTAAATTGTGAGTTTGTGCCGTTTGTGCAACAATTGTGTATAGCGCCCTCTAAAGTTGTAGGATTATAGAGGGCGCACTATTAATTTTCAGAAAAATTTACAAACACTATATTTTTCGTATCCAACAAGCTACAGTACATATATGCGTATAAATGGTGCCTGGTTCTTTCCTTTTTTATCCACTTTTTATCTATTTATACATCTGGAAGTTAACCTGATATTTCATTAAAAAAACACGATTTTCTATTTCTTGGCTATTACTGGACTAATTATACGATGTGAAATTGGCATGAGTTTTTGTAATGTATTCATCATGTTGGCAATTTTTGACGCTTAGAATTTTTTTCAGACCAAAAAAATCGTTGTTTATTAAACCAAGACTAAGTCATTTTTATTTAGAGATGAAGTCATGGTGGTTTTCTTCATTATAAGTGTTCTTTTGCATAAAGAAGTAACCTTTTTCTTGGTTCAGGCAGTGATCGCTTTGAGGTGCGGAGGACTGGCAAAGCAAGTCTAGTCGACAAGGTTGAATGCGCTCCTTTGTCAATTATTGACAGGCTGTGTGAAAACCGCGCGAAATTCATTTCGCGGGTTTTTTTGGGGGGAACATGTTTCACATACGCCTGCCATTGCATAAGCATGGCGAATTATTACAGTAATATTTTCATTGCTTTGTAAATCGTACTTTATTTCTTCAGTGTAGTCGAATAACGATTTTATTATAACAGAATTACCAGTTTCTCATGAGGCTAGGATAAAAAAAATTGAGGATCGACACTAATTTTTTTAGGTATATAAATTGACAGATTCTTTTAACAGTAGCTAAGCCCGGTTAGCTCAGTCGGTAGAGCATGGGACTCTTAATCCCAGGGTCGTGGGTTCGAGCCCCACATTGGGCGAATATTTTTTTTTCGAATATCAAATTTAGCTAAACTTCCGACAATATATAGAAAAATATCCAACAGCATCATTTATGTAAAAGCATCAAAAACGATAATCTTTGTTTTGCTATCCAATAAAGTTATTCTTTTTAAAACCTTTTAAATTTCCTTAACCTTTACTCTAGGTTCTGCATGCAGTTTTTCTTAAAGGAATTTTTCTTTTTGATTAATGTAATAATTAAAGTACTGAATATTTATTTAACATTTGCCTGATTACTTTTCCTCTTCTAGTTCCGACCGGCGTTCAAAATTGTGTTAGACAGAAATCAAAGAATCACAACTTTTATCTTAGTAATTGTATTTTAAGTGGATTTTTATTTGTGTTTATGTATTGTACTCCACACTACGGCATATGTCATTGTTTATTAATAATACAACTAAACAATAAAATTAAAATGCCAAATAATACCAATTTTTGTATGTTTAACTGTCTATTCAATGCAGCCGGAATTACTTTTAGATTTACTTTTGTGCTTTTTACTGTTAATAAAGTTTACAAACTGGAAGTATTCTTTCCAAAATCTGCAGGTCTCCATTGTAAAACAGCATTTCGAGTCCAACTTTATTCAAAAAAGTTCTCTGAATGACTCCTCCTCAACTTAAATAGTAAAGAGGCAAAACTTGGGGAATGGCTCGTGAATTGGTCAACATAGACCATTTCTGGACAAAATCACTGGTCTGCAACCTGACGAAGTTGATGTTTGTGCTCTTAAGGTTTTATTTCCATTATTTTAACATATTAATTCCACATAATGTAAGGGTTAAACCCCCCCCCCCCCCCATCTCCCATATTACGGTAATTATAAACAGCGCCCTCTGTCAATCTCTGCATTAAAATGATAATTGCGCTAGATAACCTAATGGTGGCGCTGTTCGACTTCCGTAAACATTAACTTGATTGGATTTCTTCGTTATCCCTAATGACGCAATTTTCCAACAACTATCAAAAGTGTTCGCTTTGTTAACGAAACTCAAACTGATAAATAAAAAACATTGTTTTGTCTCTACTTTCCAGAAATGTAGGCTATGGCTGCCATAGCCTACATTTCTGGAAAGTAGAGACATGTATGGCATATTATCGTTGTTGATACTGGACTTATTAATATAGTGGCAAGAGACTGAATTTTGTCTAGACGGCATTTATCACGTGGTTCATTGGGCCTTGGGTGCACGTGATTATAAATCGATTATTCAATGTTGGAATGTTGATGTTATGTATGTACTCGGCGCGGACTCAGTTGTACATCAATACAAGTTTTTACAACTTGAATTCACCCTTGTCAGGTAGGTAGTATTTCAGGAGCCTCTGGTCATACCTGGCGTGATATGACGTGAATGAGTGAAATTGTCATAAATCTTGCCACAATACAATGTCAATGATCAGATAAAAAGTGAAAATTCGAAAAGTTGTTGCTACTTTTATAAGACATTAATGTGTTTGTCAGCGGCTATGTTACGGAATTGCATTATTAGGGAAAGAATGTATCATCTTGACGCCATCATCTTTTGTGTACAAAGTCCATGGACTGCTGGAAAGTCAAGTGCATTTTCTAAGTGTTTCCTAACAAAATTGGAAATGCTTCTCAGTCTCAGTCACAGTTTCACGTCTTTTTAACTTTTTGCGATGACTGACCTTCATAATGACAGTATGAAAAGAAGGCTCAGGATGCAACATTCTTTCCCATATATGAATTGCAAATCTGTGAGGTCTTAAATTCTTACAGCGATTGAAGTGCTTTGGTAAGCCAATAGGATAGATGTGCATTGTGAGTGCCTAAGGTTCAGGGTTCGAATCTCAGTGATTTTTTTTTTAAGGTTCCGAAAAATATAGATTTTAAGACATTTATTATTTTAAACAAAATCCTACTTGTTATTGAAGTAGTTTTTTAACAAAATCTGATTCGTGGCTCCGAAGGAATTTTTTTAATAATGGGAAGTAAAGTCCGAGAACCATTTGGTTGACCACTGACAAATATGCACAAAATTAAACTGTTGACTTCCATAAATATAGCATTAATCATTTAGGCCTACGTATATTTCTTTCATTTCAGATAAAAGCGTGATTGGTTGGTCCAATTTCTCTGCAACACAGAGACAAGATGCCGTCTGCCTTTATTCCCATTGTCCTGCTGGCCGAGGCTACGGGCCTGGTGGTCTTGGGCTTGGTCATCACGTGGATGGTCAAATACCAGGACGGTTTTGCCCTGGATCGGACCAGCAAGGAGTTCAACCTGCATCCCGTGTTCATGATACTGGGGTTTCTATTCCTCAATGCTAATGGTGAGAAAGAGGGCTTGATTCCATTCGGAATTAATTCTCAAATTTACCCACCAAAAACGATGTCGGAAAGAAAACCTTGATAACATTATTGCATTACAGAAACATGGCATCCAAATTGACCAATCAACAGCGTAGTCCACATTTCTGTTTGAAATGGCGTCGCAGTCTGTAAAGACCAATCGGATTAGCTGGCTCGCGGGGCACATAAAATTTACATGCTACGACATATCGGATGTTCGTACCACGGCTCTGCCCATGTTAATGCCTGATCCTCAGACTAGATTTGCCCAAGGTGGGTGAGAAATCATGGAATGGTTTAACCAACTGTAACTTCGTTTGCAATTTTTGCTGGAAGCTTCCTTGAATGTTGGAAACATTTTGCTTTTATTCCACCAACAGAAACAGGAACAAAAAATCTGGGAAACTAATCGACTGTCCTTGATCAAGGCTCATGGCAAAACCTCTTAGTTCAAGTGAAATTGAGTGGAAAGAATTACTCAAAGAAACATGAGGAAACAGCTGGTAAACAAATGAATAACTGTGCATTGCATACAGAAACTTACAACTCTCACGACATTACACAGAAAACTGAAACATGTCTTGAAATTACATTTTGCCAACGAGCGTCGCCAGACCAATTTGAATGAAAGTTTGGGTGTTACAGAAATATTGTGACAGACTATTGATCATGACAGAAGGCAGCAAGTGATATTTCCTATCACCCAGCGACTGCAAAATCAGAAGGTGGGATGGGAGGTGGGGGGCTTAACACCATCGGACTTACCCTAACTCCCTAGGGGGTATGCAAAATCGTTTTGAAATTGGAGGATTCAGGACTGTTAGGGCTAATGGGGTGGTGTTCAAAGCAGAAGACTTGACACTATCAGACAACAATTTTGTTGCAGCATATGCTTATAGCATGGAGCTATACACACATTTTTGCAGACAGGACAAGTTTGCCTGGTTATGCCGCGCATAAATTTACATAATTCCCAGAGCAGTCTGCAGTATCTGCAATTTAAGAGAAACGGTCATAAAAACCAAACCATCAACATATGTTGCATAAAAAGTAGTGGTGGGAGAATTCGGAGATTTCAAAATCCGGTTATCCTGCTTTTTTCAAACCGAATAACGGTTATCCAATTTCATCGGAAATTCCCATTCAGCTCACAGTTACGCCAAAATTGACGAATGAGGTGCTGCATGCAATACTGTCCAAACGAATGGCTATATTTTGCCAGATTCAGTGACAACTGGGTCTAAAAAAATACTCCAAAGCTGTAATGTTGAAAAAAAATGGATGGGAACTATATGATTATGAATGGGCAGGAACGACACGAATGGAACCACAGGGAGAGAGAGGTGGAGGGAGTGATTCCCTGTTTGCAGGGGATGTATTAAGCTGTGAACCCTAAACCCTAAATTGCTACTCACGAGTACCTGCTTCTACTCGCGCCAGGACGAGTACTCGAGTAGATGAAAACCACAAGTAGAATGAGTAGCATAAACTACTCGTGAGTAATCGAGTGGTGACTTGTGATAGACTTGTGATGGACTTATGATGGATCCAACTTCATGTACAAACCCACATAACATAAGAAATGTTTTTTTCTTCTATATCCTTTCAGCCCTTATGACCTACCGTGTTCTCGGCAACGCCTTCAACCGGACAGCAGTCAAGATCATCCATCTGCTCTTCCAGGCGTTGGCCGTAGCCTGTGCCTCGTTTGGCCTGTCCTGTGTGTTCCACTTCCATAACGCTATGGGCTACGCCAACCTCTACTCTCTGCACAGCTGGCTTGGCATCACCACATTTGCGTTCTTCTCCCTTCAGGTAATAAAACAAAGAAAATTTAACCCTCCTACTGCGTGTCTGAGCAATCACGGACAGTTAAAAAATCAATCCTCTTCCCCTGCCATGCCTTTTACACAGGCTAGTCACCAACAGTCAGATCACATTGCAAGCAAGTACTGTGACGACAGTGCAAATTCAGTCAACAGACAAAAGCAGGCAAGTGGTAGGCACAGCTGGCTTATCAATCGCCTACAGTCAAAGCATTGCTGTATCACGTTACATAACAGTCACAGCCAGTCAATCCTGCTTTATGTAGGCAGGGAGCTCTTAACTGTTGGAAACAGTCACTTGACTGATTTTGACTGAAAGGACAACTCAGCACAGATTGTCCAGGGCTAAAAGATCTCATGGGAGTTTCTCCCGCTTCAAAAATGTGAAAAAAATTGCCCCTTTGCAATTCAAGACTGGGACCTGATGTAGAAAAACATCGTTCAAGTACTGTACATGGTTTGCAGGATGACTAATATTAATTTATTTCTAAGTTAAAAAAAATAAGAGAACAATTTCTTAGGATAGTCGTTCATTTTTTTATCGTCAGCTTATCCTGGGCTTTGTGGCGTTCGTCATCTTTGGTATCTTTGCCCCTTCATCCTCGGTGACTTTCCGCAAAGTGTACTTGCATCTGCACGTGTACGGTGGGGCCTTGATCTTCATCATGGCTGGTGTCACCTCCATGCTGGGTACCGCTGAGTTCATCTCCTTCAAAATGTGAGTCTTTATAAACCGGCAGAACGTAAAGCATCCTCATGCGTGTGTTCATGAGTAGGCCTACACCCTATAGGGCCTAACATATTAACGCTCAAGTTCGAGTCCCGACCTTGCCGTTGATTTGGAAACTTTATTTTTTTGTGTCCCAAAAAGTAAGAATTGTCTTCTTTTCTTGTTTTAAATCGAATCCGACATTTAATTGCAGAATATGTCTTCTTTTTCTGATTCGTGGCTTTGGAGGATTTTTTTTTTTTTTTAAGGAAAATAAGTCCAAAATTGCATTAGGTCTGATTCCCATCTCGTGAATACACAGTCACACCAAAAATGAAAGCGTGGAACCAGACGACTCGTCAAGAGAAAAAATCTAAGTAAAAAAAACCATTCACTGGGCGTGTTCAGTACAATGATGGTTTAACAACAAGAACAATAGACCACTATCATGTTGTGGCCATCTTGATTTTTTCCCATTGAAATCAACGTAACCAAAGCGAGGCTGGAAGGAAAAATAGTCTGGTTCCTTTAGTGCACCAAAAAACTGTATTTAGTACTGTTATTGGATACAGGGAGTATGACTGAAATGGTGGCAGCATGATAAAGGTCAATTGGGGACTGCTTCATGGTCAAATATCCACTGCCAGTGTGAAAACCATCTGTTAAATTGGTCGTTTAAGACTCGTTTGTTTATTTATTCACTTTTCTAAATTGCTCAGCCCAACTTATGCGACCCTGCCACCACAGGGGGTCCTGGCAAACGTCCTTGGTGCGTTCATCGCGATCTTTGTGGCCCTCGTGTGCTACATTCTCTACAACACCAAATACAAGGCGTCGGCCGTGCAGTCAGCGAACCCATATGAGGAGCAGATCAACATTGAGAAGGACTAGGAGAAGTCTGGGGAATAGACCTACTGCCATTCATTTATATTAGGAAAATCAGTCTGGTGCTGCAAGGATTAGACTGAGGCTGGGTACTAGTCAAGGTCAATCATATACATATACATCGTGAAATTAGTCTGGTGCTATACCTCTTTGTTTTTGAAATTGTCATTCATTTGGGGAGTGCGGTATTCAAGATTACCTCATACATATTCATGATCAATAGCTGAATTCTCACTGGTCCATTCACCATCACGTGCCAGATGCTATTTTTGCTGTTTACCAATCGCGCGCGCGAGTATTCACGCACAGGCTAAACACGCATGCATAGTAGACTGTCGCACGGGTTACCCGTGCGACAGTCTACTATGCATGCGCTTTACGAAGCAATCGTGGAACTGTCGCACGGGTGAAGTACGCACGCGCGAACAGCGCCCTAGCTACACATGAAAAGATGGTTGCACGCAGAAATGTTAATTACCGTTTTCCCGAGCTCAATGATGCCGAACTGGAAAATAGTGTTGCCAGTAAAAATGCCTCCTGTACTAAAAACAAGTTGTCCACTCCACAAACTCTTAGGAGTTACTGTTTTTACAAACAAAATTATCTTTTCTGAGGTTGAGCAATAATATTTTTTTCTGTGAGCTGGACAAGTTTCTCCGAAGATTTTATGCCCGCGAGGTGCATACCGCAAGGGGAAAATTCAGCAACTGAATATGTATGAGGTATAATAAAACAAATATAACATGGTTTATTTCGGGTGGATAGTCGGTATTAGCTACCCTCGGTGTTGGAAGTTGACAAACTAGTTCCCTCGGCGAAGTGTAAAAAAGAGGTTTTGCTGGAAAAAATCGCAACAGTAAAAATTTGATTACCCAGATTTTGGTTGTAAACAGGTACGGTGCTTTACATTATTCGGAGTAAAATTTACAAGGTTTAAAAAAAATATTGTGAGCACAATGTGATATATAGCATAACATCAACCATTCCAGTATAACAGTGGATGTGCATTCGTTCAAGAAAGCTGCAAACGGAATTTATTTCTTTCATTTTCTTTTTATGTCACTTTTCTAAGAGGTTAACAAAGTTGTTTTATCTGTTTTATTTTGCTCTACGGTATGTATAAAAACAGGATTCACATTAAACTTACAGTAGTTTACTGTCACGTTTATATTATATTATGTTACAAGCATATACTGTACTCTCTAAAAAAAAATGAGATAGCTTTACTAATACTTTATTACTTAACGAATTAAATATACATTGTTTTATAGTCTAGCTGCATGTCTGTGAATGATTAGAAATCATTTTTTGTGAATGTCTGTAAATGATTACAAATCAAAAAAAAAATTTGAAAATTGCCTGTGTGGACACAATTTTTGAAGTGTAGTTTGACTTCACTTTGTTAGGAATTTAGATTACAAGAGAAAGAAGGAAAAATTAACTGAACAGGGATGTGAACCCTAGACCACTGGATTGCTGTAAGAGCAGTTTACAAAACAGTTTATACGGTGCGGTTTCTTTGAAGCAATGCAAGAAGCAATGTTAAATGGACGTTTCTTTGTCTTTGCCAATAGGTGGTTGGCACTTTTTGCCAACTTCAAGTTGACGAACCACAAGGTCAACATTGTTGAAACGAAGAGTAGCTATCAACCCTCCTTCTCTGGCTTGCAATTTCAACAAGGCCAGCCCAGCAGTCCGAAAAAGTGACTGTGTTTAACAGTTGAGTGCTCCCTGCCCTTACATATTAAAGTAGGATTGACTGGCTGTGATTTTTAAGAAACCCAATATAGCTATGATTTGACTGTTGGAGATTGATAAGCCAGCTGTGCCTACCAGTCACCTGCTTTGTCTGTTAATGGAATTTGACTGATATAGCTATGCTTTGACGGCTGTGCTTTGACTATAGGAGATTGGTAAGCCAGCTGTGCCTACCAGTCATCTGCTTTTTGTCTGTTGATGGATTTTGACTGTCACAGTGCCTACATGAAATAGGATGTGACTGTTGGTGACTAGCCTGTGTAAAAGGCATGGCAGGGGAACAGGATTGACTTTTTGACTGTCTGTGACTGATCAAACAAAAGGAGGGTTATGTTTCCAAATATATCATTGGATTGTTGAAAATACAAAATAAGCAACAAACACTCTTTCTTACATAATGAGGGTAATAATTGTGCATTTTGTTGGCAAAATTATATCTTTTTGCCAGCCACGGCTGAAATGTATGCCCTCGTGACAGCCAATACAACATGGCACTCAATGGTTACAAACAAAAGAAATCTCTATAGAGCGTAAATTCCTTGCATTGACTTTGTGGAACGGATGTTTAGTGGTTCAGATGTTTATAGCTCAAGAATTGGTTCACTTAAATATTCTAAACTTTCCAGAAATTTATTTTATGTACAGTATAATATTCTTCCTTTTCTACTTGACTTATTTATACTTAAGAAGTTTGGTTCAGCACGTACCTAATATGTATAGTAGAAATTCGGTGACGGGAATAAGAAGCTTTTACTGCGGTGGTGTCACGCTCACGCGCATGCTGCAAGCGTTCTTAAAGACGAGGTGTGCAGTGCATTTTGGTATTCCTATGGTCGAAGAAGCCCAGAGTGCGTGCGTACTACCTGAGCGCGAGTGGCTTGAGCCTTGCGCCACCGCAGAAAATGGCTGCCTCCGGATTTGTCTATATTTCCCTTTTTTTGTTCTTTTAACACAGTATTCTGCTCAAACATATTATGCACAAATTCTTTTGTTAAAAAATACTGCCTTTTACAGGATTGGTGATATTTCGAGGGAATGTTTATAACTGAAGAAATTCAAGTACTGTGTAATTAGTGCACAATTTAATAGTTCATGATCATTTTGAACACTTGTTGCAATCATTGAAATAACTGGGTGGCGTGATATTTCACACAAATTACGCACACGTTCTTTTGTTTAAAACTATACTGTTATTAATAGTGTTGGTGATGATACAAAGGATTGTTTTATTACTAAACAAAGTCAACTACTTATAATTAATGCAAATTTTATTGTTTTTTTTACAAGCACGGGATGCAATAGTTGAAGTGACTGCTAAATGAGGCAGGTATTATGCGGTGAATTTTTGGCACAAATTATGACTTCAAATGTATTTGCTTGCACAATTAAAATAAGAGTATGCAATGTTAAGACAATTGTTTGCTGTTGATTTTGATGTCAAATTTTTGCCCTTCACAGCCAAATTTCAATAGTTTTCCTAATTCTTAGCCGGTGTGAAAATGAAACTGTCCTGCTACTTCTGGCAATGCTAGGTTGACATTTGCATCCTCCCTGGAAGGACAAATAGTCTGGTTCCTTTTTGCACAAAAAACAACATCATTCAGTACTGTTATTGGATACAGGGGACACGACTGAAATGGTGGCAGCATGATAAAGGCGTATAAGCGGAAAGGAATACACACACAAAGGGGAACCTGTTCCCTGGAAGAATATTCAAAAGAACTCGAGTTTTGGCTGCTTGATGTAGTTGTTTATTTCACTTTTTTACAAGCAGTTGACATGTACAATACAGGCATTACACACTAGTTTGCAATACGCACTTCAACATTTTTTTTTTCCAAAACATGCAAGACATCACACAAATACTTGTCATAATTATCTTAATAATTCTTGTGACGACATCTTTCACCAAGGAATGTTTGACACTGTGGAATTCTTAATTTTCCAAAGAGATTCATGATTCTAGTATCTTATTTTTTAACCGGATCTGAAAACTTTTTAAAAAAGAATATGACCCTGTATCAATAATAATGGCAGAAACACGTTGTATCATCTTTTCTGTAAATATTTGCTTAGTTATAATCGTGTCATAGATCCCATATTTTCAAAGAAAAGGCAATCAAGACCAAAACCAAAGATGAATTGATACTTAATTAAAAATAAGTCACAACTAACCATTGTTGTATCATATACACCTCAAAAATATGAAGTTTTAGCACCACTTTTGAATTGGGTTGGTGGGTTTACACGACTGAATTGGAAAGAGTCACTAGGAATTAAATCATCTTCAATTTAGGATACAGTTTATGATTTCACATTGTCTTCTAAAAAAGGAAAGGACTATTTTTTTCTCAGTGAATTCATTTAACCGACTTGCATCTTCACAATTAAAGCCTTGTTTCATAAGGTGGAAAAAGAGTTAAAGAAAGCCAAGTTATTTTTATGACCATGGCTTTCGTTAATCAAATTTCCAAGTATTTAAATGATATCGTTTAACATAAATACTGTTCGTATACACATTTTATCAGTACCATTAAGCCTATCCATCTTATTTACACGTACCATACAAACTAAAATATATTGCCGAAATGTTATGAACTGAATATCGAACCACAAACTCTTCAAAATATATCAAACATATAGATTAAGCTAATATAATTCTGTGACCTTTTTTTTAAACTAAATTCTCCTTTTAAAATTATTTATAAATTAATGTGATGTTCTCTGTGTGATTAGGGTTTGGGTTTTAATTAAGGCATAGAGACAAAATATAATATTTAAATATATAATAACAAGCACTTTCCAAGTTTGAATACTTCACAGAATCACATGTACCACAGACATATACTTATATAGTAAGTTCGGTAACACTAAAAACTAGAACAGGCGCTTTAATGTTCAGCCGCAGTAACATATGCCAAGAGTCTGCTTCATTTTGGGGACACAATTCTCGTTTCTGAAAGTTCTGCAGAAATTTGTTACAGCAGAACAAACCAATTTTTCCCCTAAGTCTGCAAAATCATGACTACAGCTGTGCCAAAAAGGTGCAACATTCAGAAAACAAACAATTACAACTGTTTTAATGTTCTTTTTCTTCAATGAAATTGTATATTACATCAAAGCCTGACTATTTCCCCATTCCATTTGAGTCCCTAGATCCAGAAATTACATCCATTAAGTGAAATAGTGCAAATTTTGCTTGGGCCACTTTCACCACTTAAGCATTGAATAGGCATTGAATGGCACTGAGGTTAGTGACAATACAGGTGAGAGTGGCCCCAGTAAAATTTACACCTTTCACTTGATCATATTTCTGGATTCAGGGACCCAAATGGAATGGGGTAAAAAGGAGTGGATTGAGAAATAGTCAGGCTTTAATGAAATAAACAATTTCATTGAAGAAAAAAAAAACATTAAACAGTTTTAAGTTTCATTTACTGAAATGTTGCATTTTTTTAGCACACTCTGTATATACGCCAATCTTCATCAACTACTAATGCAAAATTTAACTGCACAATGAAACACCAAAATAGAATACACTATGTTCCAATAATCACTTACAATAATACTTGTTACCTTTAAATCTCTATATATACTTTGTATATATTTATTTGCTGGAATATACGTTGATAGTTTACACACATAGCAAGGCATACTTTGCTGCTGGTAAATCCCTTTAATTATTGAATACAGAGAAACGCACAAACAGAACAAGTCGTACTTAGCTTTTTGCTCATGACATAATTTTTTATACAATGCCTGAACAAATCCCCGTCATCTGATTGGTTGGTCTTTGCTCACATGTCATTGAATTATTCATCCGAACCGCAAAAAAGTTCTATTGCACGGTCGCACTAATGGTAGCTCTGGCCGAGATGACGAGGATTTATTCAGGTGTTGTACAAGACAAGTGAATGCTTCACATTCGTGCAATGGAAAGAATAAATTCATTTGGTGATCGGTGACAGATGTAATGTACCATCTATCACCTCATGAAATTATTCTTACCATTGCACTCATAAAAATCCATTATTTGTATGATATTTTATTTTCTACTACTGTCACTAATAGCAGCTAGCTACCATCTTTTCCCAACAACTTCATGTCACGTGGCAATTCAAAATCCTTAACAAAAAAGAACTTCTCATTTTAAATCCAAATCAGAATCTTATGGTTACAGAATCATCTGTAAATCCTAATCCCATTCAATAGTAATCCACCATTTCCAAACTTCAAGTCTGGCTAAGGCTTACGGTAAAACACTTACGGTGAAACACCCAAATGTCGGGACTATTGTTTTATTGAAGTTCTGCATGTAGCACTTTTAAAATCTAGGATAGACTCCAGTGACTTTCTGAAGGGTTTTCTGAAGGGTTAACAGTGATGTACACACTGTCTATCAACAACCTTTAGTGTATAGGTTTTAACCTGAAGGCTATAGGCAAAGCATTTACATAAGCTGCATCATCTATAATTTGGCTTCTTCTTACTGATGGAGTGAAAGGATTTATCGGTTAGCAAATTAGAGTTAATAGGAATACTGAATAAGGATAATAGTTTAATTTGGGTAAGGTTCCAGGAGGATACAGTTAAGCTCATTTTTTATCTCCGCTACTACTAAAGGGGCTGGAAACAGCACAAGCTAGGCTCAATTTTATGAAGCTACAACACAGACAAAATTTGTTAAGCAAATTCGTGTGCTTAGCACCGATCAGCTGATAACCAATCCTAAGAGACACACTGCGTGACAATTTAGCTGGTATAGAGCCTGTATAGTGTTGCAGCTTAGGAACTTGTATGGATCGCAAGTAGACAGTATATAGGCTCCTACATCACAAGTGCAGTCACAAGTAAAGCACAAGAAGTTCACAATTCCAGGCATTGATAACAGAGGATGAACAGTATACAAAGGAATGCCCTTGTCACAATTCAGTTTAGTTGAAAAGCTTATGATTTGAGTTGGGACTGGATTACTTTATGATTGACAGATGATATATTCCAGAGATGGACTTGTGATGAATTGTGATCAAACCACCCAGACATGGTACACTGGTTTTTGCCAAGCAAATAGTTTCTGTGTTTTCACAAATGTGTCTGCTTGATAGTAGCTCCAAGAAATTGACCCCATACAGGTGTCAGGGTCAGGGTTGAAGGGTCAAGGGGCGATCTACTTGGCCTCCTCCCCGGCCGAGGGGTCAGCGGGGTCCATCGTCTGGAACTGCTTCATCTCGGCCGTGGTCAGTGGCAGCTTCTCTGGGTTGGGGGCCTCCTGTTCCCGCTTGTACTCGTCAAAGGTGACCAGGAAGCCGACAAAGACCGCGTAGATGACGATGGCCAGGCCCAGGAAGTTACCCACGTAGGCCTGGGACGGGAGGCTGGAGTACTTGTCTTTCCCCTCGCCACCCCTGAAAGAATATGATACTTTGATCAAGAATCATCACTAGGTAAAACGTCCTGTCTTCACTTGACAATGCAGGTTAAAGACCTTTATCATGTTGCCACCATTTCAGTCATGTTCCCTGTATCAAATAACAGTACTGAATGACAATGGTTTTTGTATAAAAAGGAACCAGACTATTTTTCCTTCCAGCCTTGCTTTGGATACTTTGAACGGGAAAAAATCAAGATGGCCGCAACATGATAATTGTCTTTTGATGATCACCACTTCTGGTGGTTAGTGAAATTACTTATCATACAGTCACTTCACATCGTGCGTCCAAAAAACTTTTCATTTGAACCCCCCCTCCTGCCCTTCACATCCCCCCCCCCCACCCCCAGTGCTCCTTCCCCTCACCTCAATGATATTAGTCTCAAGTAACTTCAGGGAGTGAAGTTCTCATAATAAAGAAAGATATATGTGAATAACTGTCAGGCCGAAAAATAATTCAAAATTTGTAAAATAATTATTAATCGTGGTCAGATTGTTTTTAGTCAATGTCTCCTACTTTTTGTTTTGCTAGAAACATAAAAAAAAAAAATATTTTTCAGGGGGAAATTCGAAAATAGCACAGTTCCAGGTTATAATTAGGGATATCACATTTGGTTCTCAGAACCACTTAATTCCTAAAGTAACTTCACATGGTGTACCCAAACTTCCTGCTTTAATTTTTCCGAACCTCCCAAAGCCCAGGATATGAGTCTTGCAGATCATGTTATTATTATCCATGGTTCATTATAGAGCTCATAAGGTACTCACGGCATAGCAAAGAAGAGCTTATTATTGATACCAGTCAGTGCAGTGACACAGACCAACCCTAGCAGCGTGACCCCGAAGAACTTGTGGTAAGGCAGGACGGCAGCCCTTCTCGTTTCGTTCAGCTTCGGGAAGAAGAAAGACACAAAGCCGCCGATGTACTGTGAAAAAAAAGTCAAAGAAACACAGTAATTAAAGTACATGTTTTAATGCAGGTTTGAAACAGGGAAAGGTAGTACCTGACCAATGGGAACAAAGGTGATTCAGTCCTTGGGCAGGACATTAGCAGCAATATTATATTATTGATCTGTCAAACATGGTGATTACCTGTAAGCAAAACAAGACAAACACAGGTAGACCGACCCAGCTGTGTAAGGTGTACATGTTGGGAATGCCGGCCTTGTTGTGGAATCGGAAGACGGCCTTGAGGGCGATGATCCCACAGATGATGGCGATGGATTGCATCAACATGTGGATGACCTTGACCACCGTCTTGTTCTCCTTGCGGAAGATGCGGAACATCAGGATGGCTGTACATGGAGGTGAAGCAGAGTGAGCAACACTAGGGTTGAGCAATTTGCAACAGTAGTGGAACGGGGGTCATTTTTGCCTTTCTCCCGAATTCTTAGTTGGTTAACCACAAGGAGTGGGAGGGGGACACTGCAGTGGCTTTGGGCAGGCTGGAACATGCTACCTGCTACCCATGCCCGTGCTTAGTTGTACTGGGTGACCACTGATTTAAATTACATGTTTATATGTTTCTTTTGTTGTGCGTTTCAACCACTTTTGTGTAAGTTTTGTTTGGTTTTGTATCACTGTTTGTAATTCTTTGTTGAGGTTGAAGAAATAATAATAATAATAATAATAAATATTAAGCAACAGACTTTTTTGCCAATTTGAAGTTATTTAGCTCTGCGTAGACTTTGATTATTTTACCAACCAGACCCAACTCAAACCTCAGCCTAAATCCAACCATCCAACTCATCAACTTCACCTGATTGAATCTATTAAACCCACTCCATTCCAGCCAAACTCTAACTGTTCTTCCTCAAAAACCGACCAGAGATGCATCTGTAATTTCCTACTCAATAAGAGTAGGCCTATTGCAGACACCTGACATGGACTTTGAGGTACATTTTAGTCTGAGTACATCAGACTTAAATTTATGTATATCCATGTTTATGCAAAGGACCATCACTTACATCAAGTTATCTCAGGTGAGTAAATTAGGATTCAATCGAGAGGCCTTAAAAGGCCTACAATCATGTGGCCAACTACCTTAAAATTAATTACCTAAGGTCGGGCAGGGAAGGCAGCTCAGGTTTTACATGCCCAACCCCCAAAGTTGGCCCCAAAAAACTGTCAGCAGCACCCTTCAACCCAACTCAATATTATTCCTGACAATTGCAACCAAACTTCCATCACATATACACTGACCCTCCTCAATTCACTCCACTCTCCTAGTAATCTTGGAGAAATCTTACCATCTCCATAGAAAAAGACGAGCCCCAGGATCATCAGCAGCGGGTGCAGGTTGAATTCCTTGGCCGACCCGTCCCAGGCAAAGCCTCCCAGGTAGTGGCCGGTCCAGTATCCCGCCAGGATCAGGACCAAGACCACGGCGACTTGGGAGGCGAGGACTAAGGGGTAGAAGGCGCGCATGGTGGTAGCCGGCTGGTTAGAATCCTGGGAGTGAAGTTCCTTGTTTTCTGTAGGACCTACAAAAACAAAAACCACCATGCTTATTGAAAAATGAGTCTGGCGGGACTTATCGTGAACTTCAACTAAGTGGAGAGTTATCCAACATTGAAAAATTACTTACAGAGGAGTAAGAGATAACTGTGATATAATTATTTTGTTTGATGCTGGAAATTGAACAAAGAAAAATCGACTGGCGCTGGGTTTGAACCTGCGACCTCCAGAGAACACCACACTGGTAATCTACCAAACTGAGCTATCCAGCGCTATGTTGTTGGACTTAAAAACTTTCATATGAAAAAAATATAGTTTTGTTTGAATGGGCTTGTGGCTCCTGTAGATGGTGCATGCAGTGTTGTAGTCGAGTACTTTTTTCCCCCCCGAGTATCGAGTACTGCCGAATACTTAGGTTGCCGAGTATGAGTACGAGTACTTCCGACTTCAAGTATACAGGTCTCCCAGAACAAGTACTTACTTCCGAGTACGAGTATAAGTTATACATGTACATCCGAGTACGAGTTACGAGTACGAGTATGGGTACATCATGTACTTCTATTTCCGAATACAGCCATACAGCAAATGGTTCACTGTGCGTAATTGGCCCAGGCCCAATCAGACCAACATACAGACCCACTCACGGCTAGGTGTTAAATGTGTTTGTCCGGACGCGCACAGAGGAAAATCAGGAAGACTTTGATATCTCCGCAAGCCAATCAGCCATTTCAAAGTGAAATCGATAAAAAAAAAAGTGGTAAGTCAAGCTACCAATGAGAGCTGTTGCTAAAAAAAGTTGAAGTACAAACAAAGGACTGAGGATTAGGGACAATAGGGGGTCCACGATTGCTGGTGTTTACACAGTTGTATATATACATGTATCAACAGAAGGTATGTACAGTACAGACTAGACCCGTGAACGAGGCGAATCCTCCATGCACAGACATATCACATCCGTGTTCACGCCACAAGCAAGATCACACACGCTAATTAACACTAGCCGATGTCACGGTTTTTTTTCCAGTACTTACAGCGTCGTAGTCCACTCAGACCCTTTCACACTTTTCCCTTAAATTAATATTATGTGCAAACTAATTTGTGCTCTGGTCATATACTTGCCGTTCGGTTCAAGTTCCGTGAATTCCATTTGCAGCACTGTTTGATTCAGGCATTCGCACTCCACATAATATAACACACAAGGGCCCTTCCAACTTGGAAACCACTGTATTGCAAACTGAGCGCTCTTCTTTGAAAACATTGTGTAAGGCACTTTACAAAATAACACGAAGGAATTTCGAGGTCAGGAACTGTGCATGTGGTTCGTGACCGAGGAATTGTCATGCGCGATCGGCTCACGTGAGACGTCTAGCTTTACGCGCATGGTCGAATGGGAACTGAATAGAGTTGATTTATTACTCAACAATCGGGACACGTTACACAACGGTTATTTTTTCAAAAACGATACTTGCCACGTGGAGTATCTGCGGGTTTTCTCCACAGGGATTTGATTTATCACAAGGACAACGCTTTAGCATATACTCAGTATGAGAATTTATGTGTGCCTACAACTGCAGTGAACTTTTGACTTTTATTTGCTGACTTCGTTCTTATTCCTCCATGGTTTAAAGATAGTTGCCATGAAATTTTAGGAATAATTTTATAAAGATCATAAAGCAGAAGCTTCGATCGAGCGGTTGTAATTTTATTCAAAATGGCACGCTTATGTGTTTTGGTCCTTAATGATAAGATATACGGTAGCCTATAAGTATATAGTAGCAACAAAACTATAAATTTGAGGATCTGATTAGGCCTAAGAAAAAAAAATCTGTTTTCGAAATTGGACTCACCGCGATTCATTTCAAATTCCACGTTTGCCATCGTAAAAAAAAGCACACTGAGTGTCACTGCACTATTGTGGACAATATAACATAAATTTTGTGAGCCAACTGGTGTTTAGTCACACTTTTTATGCACTATAATTGCATGGGGAAAACTTTGACCCCTGCCGCACGTGTTTGCTCAACATTGATATGTAACCGTTATAAAAGAATGCTGTAATCTTAATTCCTTATAGATTAATCCTGATCTTGGTTCACAGGATATCCGAACGGATATAGTCAAACTGTATAAGGGGACTTATTAGATGTTCAAAAGAACGGTGTGACCACTCCATATTTTTATTTTATTTTTCAAGATCAGCATCCGATTTTTTCCCCAAGATTTCTCTTGTATGCCTATATTTCTGCATGTGTACAGGCTATATAATTTACATCATGTTGGTTTATAGCTCCGTGATGTAGCTGTATTTTGCCCGAAATTGTTTTAATAAACTCCGAGTGTTAAGGGTAAAAGTACACCCGGGAGCAATCTCATTACGCCAGCACCTGTCCCGTGGATGTCCATGCCAAACACACAAGCGGCGAAGTTAGTGTGATGGACAGAAATGATCGCGCCTCCCAAAACAAAAATGATGCATGGGTTTCACACCATCCCATCCCCCATCCACACTTCGCATCACTGCATCATCATAAAAAGCCTGTATAAGGATACAATATTTTCGTCCTCTGCACGTTCGGCAGACGTGCTGTGACAAAATGTCAAGCATTTTATGTCGGCATGATTGCACTCTACCCAATTTGTTTGAGTGAGAAAACCCCTGCTCAAAACGCCTGTACAAGAATTAATGCAGATTCAGATTGGTTCCCCCTTTCAAATCGTACAAACTCGTTCGTATAGCAATTTAGCAGTCTTCTCTGATATCATACACCATTCGATCACATTGCCGCATTTCCCCCTTTTTCAGCAGCGTCGGCAATGAGAGTACAGCAGCTCTGCATTGCAGGGAGAGAAACTGTGTTGGGCACTACGAAAACTTATGTAGGACGAGCCATTCAAATTCCCTTCCATAGTCTATGGAAGCTTTGCTCAGCAAGGGTCTATGATATGCGAGCAGATTCGGCGATTACTTAAGCCAAAACAAGACAGCGTCTTGATCTCCATATAATCTTACTTCCCAGCGGACGCCTTCTATCTTCCGTAACCCTTTGTTGTATCACAAAAACATGGCAGCCATATTGACCAATCAAAAGCTCTGTCCACATTTCTGATGGAAATTTCGTCACGATGTTTAAAAGGTGACTCCGATTGGCTGGCGTGCGGGGCCTTGCACAAAAAGTTGCATGCTATGGGGTAAATGAGACGTGCCATCATGTGGCCATGCACACGTGCATGTCTGATACTCAGACGTCCGACTATTCCATATACCCAGCAAACGCCTGAAGTCCATTTAGCACTTTATTTACAAGCCATCTTCAATATCTACCTCCATTCAATCACCTTTAAAAAACCTTTCCCGCCTCCGCCTTTTTGCCAGCAGCTCTTGGGTAACAAGAAGGGTACCGTACAGCAACATCCGATTGTCAGAAAAACTTGTACTATATTCAGGGTGCCTAAAAAAAAACGAACCCTCAAAACCCCCTTTTTTCACAGCTTTTTAAAAAAATCCATCGCAAATATCGACACACATGTATAGAGTATATTTCATCAGCTTTTCAACACCGAAAACATCTTTCCAATCGGGTATATATTTATTGAGTTATGGCCAATTGAATTCGAGTAAAGCTTTTAAATGTTGTTCACGGCGACTGATATTTCGACTGCCGCAACATGAATACGGACTAAAACTAGCTACCCAATAGAGGCAGCGCAGCACAGTAACATCTTAGACGTTAGCCAAACAGTCCTTTTCAGGACTACCATTATTTCTAAATGACCATTTTTGAAAAATGACAGACAGACAGATTAAAATATAAAAGAAAGCAAAACTACCCTCACCCTAAAGCCGTTACATTCATAGCAAATGACAATTGAGACCGTTGACAGATTGAAAACCAGCACTTATTTTGAATTGGCCATTACTTAATAAATATTTACTCGATTGGCAAGATGTTTTCGTTGGTGAAGCTTTGTTTCGATGTTTGCGAGGTATTTTTAGAAGCTGTGAAAAAGAGGGGTTTTGAGGGTTTGGGTGGGTTTTTTTTGGAGACACCCTGTAGCCTTTGTATGTGAAGGATGGAAGGTATTAAATTTATAGATTGGATCCTGCACGGCTACATACACCCACTCTTGCGGCGTACGCTTAATGTTGGAAGAGAAGTGGAGCAGTGTTTTCAAAACGACCAAACCATCTACTACCTTGAAGAAAAAATCTATTCTATAGACAGGAGCATCTCAATTGTCTAGGAACGGAAACGATTAATTTGCGCAGAGCGGGTGGGTGGTTGATGCTATGGTTAATCAGTGAGAGAAAACCTTCCTTATGATCAGGGACAGGCTGCATGAACGACAAGTACTTCATCCTTGTAACCCACGCACTGAGAAAAACATCTTTCTTTTTTTTAAGCGGCAAAACGGCAGCCTCAGGCTTATACGATCCTGATGAGAATTTTTTTTCTCGCTATCGAGACGAGTTTATTTTTCGGATATGTTTGCGCGAGAGGGATATGAGTCATATTCCCCACACAGCGATATTCAGGGTAAATACATCTAAAGTTACGTCTATATAGTCGTCATTGATTTTCTTGTTTGCCCGAAAATGCATTTTCTCTGAATAGCTGAGATTTGATTTGACAGTTTACAATGCGATATCTGCGAAGTTTATTCATTTAGACAGTGCCTCCAATGCCCCCATCCAGGAAAATTTAAGTCATATCTGATTACACATTACACATGCATTTTAGGCAAGACGTCAAAAGCATCGCGTCTAGACACATACATTACCCACCGGTCATGTTCCGATGTTCATAAGTTCTCCCCAACCGTGAAATTGACACTAGCAGCAAAACGGAAGATGGCAAATCCATTTACGTCAATTTTCTAAAATGCCAACCATGGTAGATTTTTTTATCGCGTCCGAAGATGGCTGGGAATGTTAAGCGCCGATCGCGGCGTGTAAACACGAAGCATGAAGCACTTTCTGCCCCGATCTCATTAGCTATCATGTAAAACAGGCCTTTTGGAAGATGGT